CTCACTAAATTCTCACTAAATCTGATCTACAGATTCCAATGCAACACCAATAAAAATCTTAACAATTTTTTTTGGTGAAACTTGGCAAGCTGATTCTTAAATCTATATGGAAATGCAAAGGCCCAATAACAGCCAACATACTTTGAATAATAAGTCAAAATGTATTAAATGCTAAACAGACACTGTGGAATAGAAAAACGGACCAATGGAGAGCCCAGAAACAGACCCATGCATATATAAACACAAGATACATGAAATATTGCCATCACATGCCAGTGGGAAGAGGATGGATTTTTCCTTAAATAGTGCTGAGAAAGTAAATGAGTAGCCACAGGGAGAGAAAGACAGTGAGTCCTACTACACACCATATACAAAAATCTATTCTAGGTTGAGACCTGAATGTGAAAGGAAAAGTATAAAACATTTAGAAGACATCATAGATATGTTTATGATCTTGGGGTAGAGATGTACAGTATCCTAAATAAGACACAAAAATCACAAGCCATAAAAAATGATAAATTCCACTATATTAAAGTTAAGAACTTTCATTCATCAAAAGATACCATAAAGAAGGTAGAAAGACAAGTTACAAACTGGGAGAAATATGAGGAGAGTCTGACACTGTAATGAGATTACTCAACCTGGAAATAATGTAAGTCACTTATGCTTACAATCCATAGAGAAGAGCAAGTTACGTGGCCCCACCTGACTGCAAATGGGGCATGTCTCCTATAGGGAGGAGGGAAGAATGGGATAGAGTGATACACCAGAAGTCTCTACACTCCTTGTAAAGTTGAACTGGTTGTACCCTATGACCCAACGATTCCGCTACCATGTACGTATCTTAATGAATACTTTAGTGGCTTCTGCAACATGAGCCATGTACCAGAATATTTATAGCAGAATTGTTTATAATGGGAAAAAGGACACAAAGTCATATGCCATGTTAAGAATGAAATGTATAAATACATAGCAGCATGTTTATATAGCAGAATACTATACAATGGTCAAAACACAACAACATGGATACACTTCAAAAACATAAGACTGATGGAATAAAGCAGGCAGTGGAATAACACATGCAATATGATTCTAATTACATGAAGTACCAAAAGCAAACCCGTGTATTTATTAAGGCTATCTACACAAGTTAAAAAAAAAAAAAAAAGACCATAAACAAGTGAGTAGTTGACATAAAACTTAGCATCTATTCCCTCTGGGGTAAAGAAGAAGGATGGGATTTGAGAGGGGCAAACAGGGGACTTTGGGAATTAGGAAACGTTCCATATTCACCTGGGCAGTGGAAACTTAATTCTATGCCTTTCTCCAAAAATTGAGATGTTCGATTCAGGTCCAGGTGATGAGAATTGTCAAAGACATGGCTTTTGGTAAAAAAAGAAAGATCCCTTGGCACTGATTCAGCAAACCAATAAAGAATTCTTCCCTTCTTCCACCTTTAGAATTTCGTTTGCCATTTCAAACTTGCTGATTAATCACGGAGTGTTCCTGGCAGCCACCCAGGCCAGCTCCTCTGAAAACGGGTGAAGCTGGAGCCCTCGGGCAGGAGCACCTTCAGCACCAGGGACAGCGACCCACAGCCGGCCCGGCAGAGACCAGCTTTACAAGGATCTATCTCAGAGTTGCACAAAGGCAGTCTTCAAACCCATGGCCCAACCCGCCAGCAAGCTGGTGGCAGAGCATGAAATAGAGCCCAGGTCTCCTGATAGCTAATCCAGTGTTCGTTCCTTTGCTCCTGGCTTTGGATAAACAGACTGGAACTCCTCCATGAACCAGGAAGTCACCGGGGGACTTCCACATGTGGCTGCCATGTATGCCACTGAAAGCTTGGACTTTGCAGCCAGTCTTAGCAGGGTTTACATCTGGACTCTGCCCGCACCACCTGAGTGCTCTCGGAATTGACTTCACCTCTCCAAGACTCGGTGTCAATCATAGCAACTCCCCAAAGAGTTGCTTCAAGAATTCCATGACATTAGATGCATCACACAGTCAGCACTACATCTTGTGCACTGGTGCTCAGTGAAAAACAAGAAAATTCCCTTATCCTTTTCTTGGTGGATTTCAAATTGAAAAGGAATTGGTTTTACGGAAGGTTTTAAAGATGCTGAAACAATATTACCTTTTAGAGCCTGTTGTGGAAATAAATCCCATAAAATTCTGTACAAAATCTTGGCATTTGCTAATAGATATTAAAACTCCCTCAGATTTCTTAGTTCTGTTCAGTCCTGTTCACTTGAACCCCCTATCATCGCCTAACATCCTCACTCTGTCACATCAAGAGAAGCTCAGAGAAGCAGGGTGACAATACGCCTGCAAAATGTCCCCAGAGCCGAGACGCCTCAACCGCACATCGCATACCACAGTAAACCTGAATGGTAGCATGCTGTTCTTTTGGTTAGTTACTGGATTCCATTTGCTGGCACTTTATTTAGAAATTTTCACCTCTATTCATAAGTGCCATTGGTCTATAGTTCCCCTTATTTTGTATTATTTGTATTAAAGTTATTCTAGATTCACAGAATGAATAAGGGAGTTTCTCGTCTACCTTTTTCTATGGCCCAAAATAGTTTAAACAGCATTGAAATGATTAGTTCTTTAGCAATTAGATAAAACTCAGCTGTGAGCCTGTCTGATCCTGGTCCTTTATCACTGATAGATCTCCAGTCACCTTCTAATCTTTTCTATGGTAATTGGTCTATTAAAATTTTCCATTTTTTTTCTTGGACTGATTTTGGTAATTTACTTCTACTAGGCAATCGTCCATTTCCCTGAGGTTTTCAATTTGTTATCACAGAGTTGCATATCAAATTCTCTCATAATTATTTTTATCTCTCCTGTATCTGTAGTTATGTTGGTATGTCTGCCTTCTCATTCCTAATCTTGTCTAATTTTACTCTCTCTGTTCATTCTCCATAATTGGGCTCACGAGAGTTTTTTCTATTTTATTAGCCATTTCAAAAAACAAGCTTTTGCATTTACATATTCTTTCCACTATTTTAAAATTTTTTCTATTTCATCAATCTCAGTTCTTATCTTTATGAATTCCCTCTTTCTTATTTCTTTTGTTGTTTCCTTTCCTAATTTCTTGAGACAAGTACTAAAAATGATGGTGTGTTTAGTCTTTCCTCCTTTCTAATGAAGGCATTTCAGGCTGTGTGTTTCTAAGCTGTGTTAACTATATCTACTCCGTACGTATGTTTTACCATGAAATCTTTTCTTTCTCTTTGTTTTCCAGATAGTATATAATTTCTCTGATTTTCTCTTTCATCAAGAGTTATGTAAGCATGTTTTAAATTTGCAAGTAGTTAAAGTGTTTTGGGCTCCTTTTATATTATTTATTTCTACTTGCCTTAGATATGGCCAGAGCAGGAGGCCTGTGAAAAACTCTGTTCTCGTGTTCTTGAATTTGGTAGCGTTTTCTTGCTGACCTATTATGTACTGATTTTCATCAGTGTCCTTTTGGCATATGAAATTGTATTCAATGTTTGAGTGTATATATATATATATATATATACACACACACCCACACACACATTCACACTTATTGCTTGTATTATTCAATTCTGGTGTTATTACTCTGTTGTTTTTAAATTTCCAGTGTACAAAAAAGCTGAGAAACAAGGATAATGCATACTATATACCCATCACCAAGATTCAATAATTGTGTACATTTTGCCATACTTACTTTTTACTGGGGTATTTAAAATTAAATCATGGGCTTTATGGCATTTCACCCTTAGAGACTTCAGTCTGCCTCTTTAGTAAAGAAGGATCTTCCCTGTATGAGCATGATACCATCATTGTGCTTGAGAAAGTCACAGTGATGTTCTAGGATCTTCTAAAACTCCATCCATATTCAAATTTCCCTAATTGTCCCTAAAATGACTTTTTAAAATCTGATTTGTTCGAACTAGGACCCAATCAATGGCCCTGCAATACATTGGATTGCTTCTTAATTTCTAACTCCTTCTTCATTTCTAATATGTCTGTCCATTTCTGATAAAGCTGTGCAGTTCTCTCTCATTATAATTTTATTTTCATCAACTTCTCTTTCCTTTTCTAATAGGCTTTGCTTTATATATTTAGCTCCTCTTTTTAAAAATAAAATACAATTTTATGGCTGTTTATCACTTCATTGTATAATGTTCTAATTTATCACATATAAATATTTTTAAACTTTTTTGAGATTAGTATCTGCCACTTCTACTTTATTTCCATTTGCTTTATCCTTGTAAATATTTTCCCAGCAATTTATTTGAAATATTTAAAATATCACTTTGTTTCAAGTGTACTTCTAATAAACAGCTTATAATTGCCTTTGTTCCTTTCTTTTGCTTGTTGAACTCAATATGAGTGTCTGTCTTTTAATGGGAGAGTTCAGTTCTTTGCATTTAAGATATTAACTCATATATTTAATGTGGTTTCTACAGTATTCTGTTGTTGATTATTTTGCATCATTGTTTCTTCCTCATTTTTTTTTTAAAGATTGGCACCTGCACTAACATCTGTTGCCAATCTTTTTTTTCTTCTTCTTCCTCTCCCCAACCAACCCCCCCCCCCCGGTACATAGTTGTATATTCTAGTTGTGAGTGCCTCTGGTTGTGCTATATGCAATGCCGCCTCAACATGACGTGACAAGCGGTGCCATGTCCACATCCAGGATCCAAACCGGCGAAACCCTGGGCCACTGAAGTGGAGTGCGCAAACTTAACAACTCTGACACGGGGTCAGCCCCGCTTCATCATTTTTGATGGTTTGATCAAGTTACTGTTCTTTCCATTACTCTCTTTGTTAATTTGGAAGCCCTCACTTATGCCCATCTGTTATGGACAGAATGTTTGTGTCTACCCAAAACTGATATGTTGAAGTCCTAACCCCCAGTGTGGCTATCTATAATTGGAGACGGGGCTTCTAAAGAAGTACTTAAGGTTAAATAAGGTCATAAGGATGGGGCCCAGATCCCATAGGATTGGTGTCCTTACCAGAAGACACACTGGAGCTCTCTCTCTCCGGTTCCTCTCTCCAGTGGGTACACAAAGAAGAGGTCATGTGAGCACACAGCAAGATGGCGGCCGCCTGCAAGCCAAGACACGAGATCGCAGAATGAAACCTACCTTTCTGGCCTCTTGAGCTTGGACTTCCAGCCTCCAGATCTGCAACAAACAAATGTCTGTTGTTTAAGCCCCCAATGTGTGGTCTTTTGTTAACGGCCACTGGAGCAGACACGAAGACACCTATTGCATTGATGGCCACCCCTTCCTCCCTGTTTACATAACCAGACACAGATTTCTCTAGTAGTAGTTGAAAATAAGATACCAGCTATTTCTCACAATAAGATGTTCTATTTTCCCCTAACTATTCTTCCTCAATCCAGTAAGATGACACTTCTAGAATTCTTTCATTTTCTTCTTCTCTCCTCCCCCACAAAGATGAGATCCTTGGAAGGTTTATAATTTCCCCCTGCCCGTAATTCATGGATGTTGCTGAGCTATGATTTTTATAAATAGACTATCATTAGAATTTTTCCTTCCAGTACGGACCTTCTATTTCAGGAAGCCTTACTTAGCACTTAGATTACATAGTCTAAGGCAGGGCCATCCTTACTCATTTTGATTTAATTTACCCACATAACAAGGTCTGCTGCTTACCACCAAGTCTTTCCCTTTTCATCTTTCTTCATTTTGTGAGCTCTGTTCTGTCTCATTTATTCTTGGGTTTGAGTCCTCTCTTGAGTCTTTTCCTAAGGAGGGATGCAGTGGACAGACAAGGATTCAGGAGGTGCTCTCACAAATGCCTTCCTTTCGCCTTCACAGGTGAGTGAGAGCTTGTCTGAGGACAGGATTCTTGGGTGAAGGTCTTTGCTGGGCTTGAGGTTGGACTGAAGTCCCAGGCTTGGCCGTATGGCATGCTTTGGCCAACACGATGTGTTCAGAAATGGTGTAGGACATTTCTGGGTAGGAAATTTCCGGACCGTGGTGAGATGTATCAAGTTCCCTTTCCCTGTCAGGGATCATGGGAGCCCATGGCGGGGGGACAGTCTGTCAGCCTGGGTCTTAAAGGGACCTCGGTGAGCAGAGCTACCTATCAACTCACACGAGCAAGAAATAAGCCTTCGTAATTTTAGGCCACTGATTTTTTTAATTAAAAAAGATTTTGGTACTCCTATGTCTTAGTCAACTCAGGCTGCTATAACAAAATGTCACCGACAGGGAGGGTTAAATAACAGACATTTATTTCTCATAGATCTGGAGGCTGGGAAGTCCAAGATCGGGATGCCAGCAGATCTGGTACCTGGTGAGGGCTCTCATCCTGCAGATGGCCCCCTTCTCTTTGGGTCTTCACATGGCAGAGACACACACACACACCACACACACACACACACACACACACACACACACACAAAGAGCTCTGGTTTCTTTCTCTTCTATAAAAGATCTCTAATCCCATCATGGAGGCCCCACCATCATGACCTCATGGAAACCTGATCACATCCCAAAGGGCCCACCTCCAAATACCATCACATTGGGGGGTTAGGGCTCCAATATATGAATTTGGAGAGGACGCTAACATTCAGTCCATAACATGCTGTATAATCTCTCCCATCCCGATTGGTTCAGAAACGGATAGGATACTGGTTGCTCGCTCTCATTCAGGGTTAACTGTGCCCCTCCTGCCTGGCTCTGAGCCTCCTGGGATGCTGTGAGTTTTCTTTGTCAGTTCTTTGGGGGCTCACATCTGGTTGCTGGAAGCCTCTGTGTTAGTCTGGGTCCCTCAAGCAGCAGATGTTGAGATGCCCTCCATCCTTCTCTGCTCCTCCACCTCCCTCTCCTTCTCTCTGATGCCCTGATTTTCCTGCTGCCGCCTCAGCTCTGCTGGGTTCAGAATTCCCCAGGACTTTATTTGGGGGTCACTGGTGGCCCTGCATTTGGAGAAGCGACAGTAGCTTACGAGAGTCAGTTCAAGGCTCGGGATGGAGACAAACACGACCAGCTCACCTTCACTCAGTGCTCACCTGGATATGGTGGAGCCTTGAACTTGACTCTTAAGGGAGATCTTACGCCAGCATCCCTCGACTTCAGGGTGTAAAAGTCAGCGTTTCCCAGAGCTGGACCCCCTTGCTGAAATGGTGTGAACTTCCCTGGGGGAAAATCCTCAGGATTTGGGGGATTGTTTTTTCTTTTGTTTCTTCATATTTTCTTCTATTTTTTAGATTTATGCAAAAAGTATTGTTTGTCATCAAGAATAAATAAATAAAAAGGATAAAATGGGGGCTGGCCTGGTGGCATGCTGGTTAAGTTCACATGCTCTTCTTTGGCGGCCCAGGGTTCGCAGGTTCGGATCCCAGGCACGGACTTACACACCATTCATCAGGCCATGCTGAGGCACGTCCCACATACAAAACAGAGGAAGAGTGGCACAGATGTTGGCTCAGCCACAATCTTCCTCAAGCAAAAAGAGGGAGGTTGGTAACAGATGTTAGCTCAGGGCCAGTCTTCCTCACCAAAAGAAAAAAAAATGATAAAATGATTTTTTAAAAAGTCAGTGATTCAACCTGCCTCCATTAAAGAGGTTTTAGGCATGAGGTGGGGGTAGGGGAGGGATTTGGGGAACTGGGACCCCTTCCGGGTGCTGTGGGAATCGTGCCGTGTCTGCCAGGCCTGCCTTGGGGCATTGGGGTCCAGGCAGCATCAGAGGCTGCTGCGACTTCACCCAACTCACTGTTGGTGGCCCCTGTGAGTGGACCCCAGCACGCAGCAAGAGATACTTGGCAGTGGCCTCTGGGATGCTGGTGACAGGAGCCATGCACACTGCAGCCCCAGTGCCTTCACGGCCATCAGAGATGGCATCCTTATTGTTTTAATTGGCCACCCATTTCTTGGGGGCCCTCCTTCCTCCAGGTCAGAGAGCTCCCTAGGCCCTGGCACACCCGTCCAATGAGACGTGACGTGCCTCAGCTCCCCCCTCCACACTGTGCACCATGGACTTCTGTGATGCACAAGTGAATCCAGACTCCTCCCATGGCCTTCGTGATCTGCTCCTGTCCTCCTGGGGCCTCTGAACCCCGATCTCTGACCTCATCTTGTGCCACCTCCCCTGGGCCCACATCCCAGCGAGAGTTGCCTTCTGGCTACACGCTGAGCAAGCCACGTTCCTTCCCTTGACCCCAGGGCCTCTGCATCAGCCGCTCCCTCTGCCTGGATGCCTTCCCCTGGATCCAAACATGTCACTCAAGTCTCAATTCCAACTCCATCCCCTTGGGGAGGCCACCCTGACTACCAGACCCAATATCTCTGGGCCCACGGCACACTTTTCACTATTCCATGTCCTCTCGTCTTCCTGCAATCACCCGTCTCCAGCTCTTAGCTGGTTTACTGTCCACTCTCCCAGCAGGACATGTGCTCCGTGACAGCAGGAACCTTGTTGCTGGCTCCCCATTGCCCTTTGTCAGCACTGGAGGCAAGAGCGGCATTGATGACCTGTGTAGACAACCTGGGGACCCTCAGGGGGCCTGGGCCTGCGCACAGGGGAGCCAGGAGGTGGATGGTGTCCGAGCTCTGCCGACAATGACTCTGTGACCTCCCGTTAGTCCCTGGACTTCTCTGGGCATGGTCTCCTTATTCATCAAACAAGGAAGGAGATCTAATTGCCAGTGCTCCTTCCAGCCCCAGGGGAAGGGACTTAAATCCTGGATGAGCCCTACTATGTGCGCATCCTCGGGGCATAACTGTGCCTGCTCCATGTTTGTAGCAACGGCGAGAGCTGGGGACTAGCCCGTTCCACAGCCTGGGGATGGCGGGCCAAACTCCTCGCTGCTGGGAAGCCCTCTGGGGTCCCCCAGTCTAGGCTGATCTGGGCTCCTGCAGCCCCCATGTGACCCATGGGTCTCCACCTCCAGGCCCTGCTGTCTCCTGGTCATCTTGTGTCGCAGACCCCAGCACCCGGCCAGCACAGAGACCCCCAGTCTGGCAGGTGATGTTGGGGGGCAGAGAGCAGCTCGGAGGTAGAGAAAGCACCTCAGAAGCACTGGGCACTTGCAGAGCCCGCCGGGTGTTAATTCATCTCAGTGGATGCTTCCCCAGCCCTGCTCTGTGCTGGGGACACGGACGGTGGCATAGGCCCTGTCCTTAGGAAGCCTGAGACCTAGAGCAGGGGACAGAGCACTAGTGCTGAGGACAAGGGCGGTTTGCAATGGGAGACCCCAGGGCCATGCTCAGAGCGAGCCTGGGGGCCAGGAGGCCTTCCTGGGGGAGGTGCCTGTGGAACAGGGGGGCTCCGGGGCCTTTGGGGGCCTCTGGCAGCACCCAGCCTCTCTTCCCTCTCCCTGGGAGTTGACAGACCCATAATGATACAAACAATACACCTGCGGATCCCCCAAATAGCATCGGTGTGTACAGGGACGCCTGTCAGGCTGCGAAATTGCTGCCACCTCGGCTGCGTTTGCGAAAATACCTTCTGCTGCACAAAGGTGAAAACAGCAGAGGTGAGAAACAGGCTCCGAAAAGGGAAAGCACGGAGACGCCTTCCTCAGGGATGGACAGACTCTCAGCACGGCCCAGCGCGTGCCATGTGACCCGGCTGAAGGCAGCTCCCGCCAGGCGGAGGGCTGGCCGCTCGGTGGTCTCCGCCTTGAGCCTGGGGCGGCTGGCACCGCTCCTGGGCCGGTGGAGAGAGGAGGGCAGCGCACCCTCGACACCAGGGATAGGGTCCATGTTGACTGAGCGCCCACCGGCGGGCATGGGGCCTCTGCCAGGAGCCACACACACCTAGGTTCTCTTCATCCTGAGGGGGACGGCTCTCCTCCCCGTGCTTAACCAACCGGGGAAGAGGCACAGAGAGGGTCCCTCACTTGCCCTAGGTCACACGGGGAGGAAATGACAACCTTGGGATCTGGACTCTGGCCGCCTGACTTGGAAGCTGGTGTTTATTCCACAGCCTGAGTGCAACTTGGGTCCATGTGGGAGAACCGACACTGCAGATGGTGGGGAGCCTGGTCACACCAGGGGCGTGCTTCGGAGCTGGGCTGCCTCTGTGGAGACGCCCAGACCTGCCTTCATATCCTCACCGCGTCTTCCTCTGTGCACGACCTTTCCAGGCGTTATTATCCAACCACATTCACAACTGCAGGAGATAGTCCCATCTCACAGCCAAGTTCAAGATAAGGAAACCGGACGGGGCTGTTTCCCCAAGTTCCAGAGTTAGTGCGTTCTCAATAAACTATTTTGTTTATTTTTAAGAGAAGATTATTATTTTTAATTTTTGTTTTATTTACTATCATTATTTTTAAGAAGGCAGAAGAGCTTGTTTCAACAAATGTCCCCTTTCTATGGGCAGCTAATTATTTCTGGCTTGGGTGGTGGGGAGGTGACTGGGAGAAAGGTCACCAATGCCATTTCCTGGCCACCGGTATGTCATTCCTGAGTCATCTCATTAATCTAGTCAGCAAACGCCCCAGAGCCTCTGCCCTGCCCAGCCCCAGGGGACCCAGGAGAGGAGGCCACGGACAAGCTGCCCTCCCTGCTGCCCAGGAGGCCCAGCTGTGGATGCGGACATGCTGCCCTCCCATCTCCTCTGCCTGGTTTGAGAACAGCCACCCACGGGTGCCGACCTTTCACTCGGACCACGGCTAATGAGACCCTCCTGGTGGGCACGGGGTGCACAGCCCCCAGCAGCCTCTCTCGGGAGCTGTCAGCCGATGAGTGAAGCCTCTGCCAATCTTCCGATTGATCCTGGCAGCACCGGGCTCCGTGGGGAATGTGCTGGAGTTATTTACGGATCAGGTGTGGAGATGGGCAGTGGTTCAGGCCCCATTAAGAAGCCTGAAATCCACTAATCACATTTCCTCTAACAAAGTGAGGGTGTGTGTACGCATGGGGCATTGGGGGCGTCCTTGGCACCAAGGAGGGGGTGCTCGGTCCGGCTTCACCTCTTTACCGCACCCCTCCATTTGCCATGCAGCCCTGAGTCCCAAGGAGGGCTGACTTGCTCATCCTCTCTTAAATGATGTTCCCGCTCTTGAAAGTCCTCTGCTCTGGGGGCACAGCAGGTCCGCCCTGAGCCTGATTCTGCATGCCATCCTGCAACAGTTTAGATTGTGAACTGCCCAGGCGACTTTGCCCACGTGGCCACAATTGGAGACCCCACCACACGCTGAGAACTTTGGAGCTCAGAAATCCCCAGTAAGACCCACCAGGGCCTGACATCTCAGGGAGGAGCCCCGGCCAGTTTGGGGCTCATGTCCTCACCTCACCTGCCAACAGACATTCAGGGCAGGTGGAAGCTTGACAACCCAAAAGCTCACAGGCTCTGACTGTCCACTCTTGGAAACACTTCCCCTGCCCCCTGACATAACGTTCTGGAACCCTCTGGGCAGACCTAGCCAGGCCCGGCCTCAGTTTCCCTTTTCCATTGCTGGCTCTGCCTCTTGTATCTCAGAAGCCCTGGGCCGTTTTCCCACCTCCCCCTCTCCGACCCTCACTGCATCGGGCACCAAGCCTTGGGGCTACTCTTGGCATCTTCTGGATTTAACCATGGAACCAATGGAACAACTTTTAGCACCTACTGTGTACCAGGGGCTGGGCTGACCTTCCCTCTTCCTTCTCGGCCTTCCTGCTGCCACGCTGGTCCAGCCCCTTGTTCCCCGTGCCTGGAGAGGAAGGACACAGCTCCCCAATTCCCACTCCCACCCCTACAAGGGCAGTGCCAAAAAGAGGACTTGGTGTCCTTAGCTCAGAGAGCCTCAGCTTTGTCACTGGCCAGTGGGGGTGATGACTGTCTCACAGAGTTATCATGAGGACCTGATGCCCAGCTCAGGCCCAATATCCAGCAGGTGCTCGAGAAACGCTCACTTACTCAGACCAGCACACCAGGGTACCATTCACCACCATCACCAGGCCGCCCTCCTGCTGCAGAACTTATCATGGCCTCCTACGTCCTCTCACGTTGGGTGTAAACTCTTTTTTGCCGTCTCAGCTGGGGCCAGATTGGTGATGGTCTTGAAAGAAAACAGGTCAGTGTTGAGCCCAGGATGAGCCCCGTGTGTACCTCTGTGTTCAAGATTCTCAGGCTGTAACAGATCCCAGCCAAAGACAGGGCTGGGGTTGATTAGCAATGTCTGCCAGGGGCACAGGCCAAGGAAAGGCAACCTCTCTGCCAACACTGGCCCCACCCCCCTCTCCAGGCTCAGTCCCCAGGCCTTTTGCTGTTTGTGCCTCTTTCTTGTTGGTTTCTTCTCTCCCACTCTGTCTTTCTCATTCTTTGTCCTCTGTCTTCACTGCATTGGAGCCCCAGGGACATCCGAGTCAAGGCCTAAACCTCGGGGCTCTTGGGGTCCTGGCAGATGACCAACTCTGCCACCTGCACAGCTCTTTTTCATTTCGCTCTTCTGTACCTACTTCTGCCTGCCTTCCTAGGAGAGGTCTCACCTGGGACGATGACCTCAGACCCACTGGCGAGTGAACCCAGCCCTGTTCTTTAGTTCCCACCAAACATTTACTGTGCCCTGCATGACCCAGCTAAGGTCCCCAAGGCCCTGGCTCTCCAGGAGCTCACAGCCTGGGGGGGGGACCTCAGAGGGGTCACTGTGATCCAAGTATGTGCAGTGACACAGGAGCCTAGTCCAGCCTGGGGACAGGAGAAGCTTCTGGAGGAGATGCTGCCAGAGCTGAATCTTGAAAGGTGAGGAGATGAGAGCGTGATAGGCCAGGTAAAGGAAGCAGGCAGAGGGAACAGCATGAGTAAAGGCACGGAGGTGCGAGGTGCTGAGGAAATGGCTGTATTGGGTGGCTGGAGCAGGAGGCGGGTGGGAGGGAGGCAGCAGCTGGGGCAAGAGAGGGTACCAGATGCCAGATCTGAGGGTGAGAACGCCAGGGGGAGGGCCCGACGTGACCCAGGAGCTCCTAGAGGGTTTCAGCACGGAAGTGCAAGGGTCAGTGTATTCAGAAGGAGGTTCTGGCTACAGGTGGAGGAGAGACGGGGATGCCCAGCTGGAGGCAGGGGGGCCAGTGAGGGACTGGAGGCTGAAAGAACCTGAATGGGAGGAGAGCTTGTTCGTGTGGGACCAGAAGTGGAACCCAGGCCTCTTGCCTCCCTATGCTCAGCTCTCCGAGCTGGGCCAGTGGTTCCCAAAGCGCGGGCCCCAGGACGTGGGGCTGAGGCCGACTCTGCCCAAAGGCAGATTCCACGGTCAAGTGAGGTTGGGAAATGCTGCCCAGGCTCCTGTCTGGGTGTCATGGTGCCTGTTAGTGGGCCAAAGGCTCTGGGAAGTCCTGGATCCACCCCTGTTAACCCTGTGTCCCCAAACTGTGTAACCACAGAAGGCTTCCTCGGTGACACACTTATTCACATCCCAAAGGAGAGTGTGAGATGCTCCGGAGGGGCCTGGCTGCCAAGTACTTTCCTCGGGAACCCACCACGGCGGGAGGTCCAGAGTGAAGACACGCCATCAGCTGCAAATGTATGGCCACAAAGAATGCATGGGGTCTGGCAAAGCCAGGAGTACAGGGGAGAACCCATAGTGTTGGCATTCGGGCCCGAGGGTGGGCACGCTCAGCACAGCTCTTCTCTGTGACTTGGGGCCATGGGACTTGGTGCCTCACCTACCCCACCTGTAAAATGGGGACGATGGTTCTGCATCCTCTGCCTATTTTCGAAGACGTGGGCATTAACATGACAAAGCACTAAACGCACCCAAGGAGTCAGGATGTTCTGGGAGCAGCAGACAGCTCTGGCTCCTGCCAGCAAATAGGACCTGCCCTGGGCCAGCACCGCCCGCGATGCCTCTGGAGACACCTGGGCGTCAGCCTGGGTGGGGGACCTGGCGGAGGGTGCTGTGCCTCCCCGCCTTTAGCTCACAGCAGAATCAGTTTCACAGATGCAGTGCTCATTGGAAGAAGCACTGGATTGGGATCTGGGTCCACTCTGACTCACTGCAGGCCCAGAATAAACTGCTCAGCCTTTCTGGGTAAGACAGGGTAAGAATACTCCTTAGGCCTGGGGGCTACGGGCACGCCCAATGTGTAAAGAGCCTAGCAAATAAGTTAGGCAGTGGAGGGGGAATTATAAAACCACGATGTTCTTTATTATCTAATCAGATAAATCTGTTTTTACGAAAGAAGACACTGAGGTCCAGGGAGGCCCAGGGACAGACTGCTGGAGGAGCTCAGACAGGCTGCCAGCTTCCTGGCACCAGCGGCACGCGTCTAGATTGGGACCAACTCCCAGTGGCCTAAGCGGAGGAGAAGAGAATGCGTTTGCTCCCCTCCAGGCGTGGCTCTTGCTGCCCCGTGGGCCTGCAGCCTTGGGACCTGCCTCCCTCCCTCCACCAGGCTCCTCTTAGAAATGCTTTCCCAGGGTTTTCACTGGTGGAGAGATGAGCCACACCCAGCCAATCACTGTGGCCATGGGGAATCCCGGGCTCTGATTGGCCACACCTGAGCTCTGAATCCTCCTCCAGTTGGGCTGGAGTTGATGCTCCCACAACCAGAGGCAGAGAGGGAGGTGGGCTCCCCAGAGGCACTGTCAGCAGCCTGACCTCTTTGTAGACTGTCTTGTGGCAGCAACCCACAGTGCTAGCTGGGCAACTGCCTTGGGGATGGCTGCTGGGGACACAGGGAAGATGTCAGGAGCCAGGCTCTGCTCCAAGGAGCTCACTTCCACCTGCAGGTCAAGACCCGGAAAGGAGAGCACAGGGTGAGGAGAGGAGGCTGACCACGGACAGACCAGGAAACCCTCCTCTCCCACTCCCCAGAGTCTGCCCTCAGGCCCCGCTCCCGCCCTTGTTTCTCCTGAGTCTAAAGGCCTCATTTTGGAGGGAGAAGAAAAGGAAGAACCAGTGTTGGGAGAGTGGTGTGTGGCTATTCAAGGCAGTGTGACCTTGGGGTCGGAAGGCTGCTGGGTCCGTGGAGCGCTGGACAGAAGCCGGGAGACGGTTCAAGAGCTGGTTCTAGATGGGAACTGCCTTGCGTCCCCGAGCACGTGACCTTCTCCGGTTGGAAGTGTTCCTATCTGAAAAACAAGCGGTTTGGACTAGTTTATCTCTGAGGTCCCTCCCAGTATGCACACAAAGCGGTTCCGTTTTCTGAAAAGCTGTATGTAAACCGAATAAAAGTGGCTCTCTGCGAAGCTTGGAATCTGCCGGTGGGGAGCATCCCATCCCCCGCTTCCGCACCTGCCAGCGGGGACAGCCTGGACTTCCCTGCGCAGCGTTGGCTCAAAGCGGGGCGACCTGTGGGTCGGAGTCCAGTGCCCCCTGGTGGCGCCCAGGCGCGCAGGCCGCTTCCGGACGGCGGAGGCCCGACGGCTGTGACTCAGGGGTGGCGCCGCTGCAGGGCGGCGGGAGGCCCGACTGGGGTTCCGTCGTGGGCCGAGCCACAGAGCAATTAATTACCAGCTGCTGGGAATCCTTGTCGCCCGCTCGCGGTGACTCACCGGGCGGCCAGACTCATTCGCGAGCGCGGGGGCTTCGGTTTCCAAAATGTATTCTGGGGAAAGCGCCTGCTTAGGGTGGGGCTCCCCGTCCCCGTGCCCAAGGGCGCCTGCAGACCCAGCGGAGACCCGACTGCCCAAAAGTCGCCCACAGCGCTGGCCCCCTTCTCCGGTGGGGCCGGGTGCGCAAGCACCTGCGAGTTCCAGAAACGGGGTGGAGTCTCGGTGAGGCACTGCGTTCCCAGACTCGCTCGGTCCTGCGGACGGCGAGCCCAAGACACGGCTAAAGGGGGCGACCCAAATGGGCCAGTGCTCCGGAAGCCCGCGAGGGGCGCGAGAGTTGATTCCCTGGACCTACTCTGCAACGCCCATGGCCCACCTCAGGCCCGTCTCTTGACCCGCCGCCGGGGGGCGTCCCTTCCCCCAAGTCTCCATCTCTTCCTTGGCTGAGGTCCAAGGGAGGTCGCCTGACCCAGAGAAGGGGAGGTGGGGGTGGGGGCTTCTCCGCGGCTTCTGCCTACCCATTTCGAGCTCCACTGCTCAGGGAGATTAGGTGGCTGGTGGTCGAGAGAAACCCCCTCAACGCCCTGAAGGGAGATGGGGGCGGGGGGCACGGGGACAAAAGAGCAAAGGAAGCTGAAACGGCAAGAGGATAAATCAGGGCGAGGCTTCCTCTCTGGACGCAAGGAATAGCTGCACCCCGGTCAGAGCCTCCTGTACCCTCGCAAGGCTCGTCCAGAGAGGGGCCGTCGTTGCGCGGCGCATTGGATTGCGTTCCGGGTGCTCCCTGCGCCCAGCCTCAGGGAGCCAAGGAGTGTTTCTCTGAAAAGCAACAGGGAGGGGGCAGGCAAGGGGGAATGCAGCGCCCTCCCCTGAGGGCCCAACCCCAAGACTGGCGGCCTGTGCCATCCTCAGCGCTCTCCGAGGGAACGACTCAGGTTGGCAGGTGCTGGGCCACCCGGCCTGCGACGCTCGCGGGAGCTGAGGCGGCCCTAGGGACCCCACCTTGGGACAAGGAGGTGCCCCAGGCCAGTGACACGCGCCCGCGCTCGCGCCGGGTGGCTTCTGGTGGAACTGCGGGTGCCACCGTGCTCCCGGGTGCCCACAGCCCCCTCCCCTTGCGCTCCCCTCTCTCCGCCCGATCTCTTCTCTCCCGTAAGCCGCCTGTCTGCCTTCTTGGCTGAATCCCGTTTCTTTCTCCAGCCCCAGGTCCCTCAAACTCGCCGCCCCGCGTGGCTTCATGCGTTCTCGGGGAGCTGGGCTAAAAAGACCCAAGCAGCCTCATTTATCCTCCCATCCCCCGCTGAAACCTGCTGGTGGCTCCGCCCCCACCCTCACTAGGGCTACACCCAGTCCTCCACCCTCCTCCGCCAGCCCCCTCCCCGGCGGCACTGGCCGCCCCTCCCGGGCTCCCTCCGCGTGCGCCCTGAGCTGCGCTCGGTCTGCAGCGGGAGCCGCCGCGGCCGCCTCGCCAGCTGGCTGGGGACCAGGCGGGAGGTGGCGAGCCCGAGAGGCTGCGGGAGGGAGGGAAGAAAGGAGGGAGGGAGGGAGGCCGGGCCTCCGCGTAGCCCGGCCCCCGCCCCCCGCGGCCCTCCCGCCAGAGCGGGGCTGCCACGCGCGCGCGCGCGCGCACACACACACACACAGACACACACACACGGGCACACACGGGCACACATACGCACAGACACACGCACACACACTCGGGCTCCCTCCGGCGCGCACGCACGCAGCGCCCCGGGCAGACCAGCGCCGCGGCCGCCTCCCCGGACGCTCGGACGCCGGAGGGCCCCGACCCCGGCGCGGCTCATGCGCCCGCGCCCACCCCGCAGCTCCGCGAGGCCCGCGGGACCCCTCCCGCCTCCGCCGCCGCCTCGCCCGCCGCCCCCGGAGGAACGGGCTGGCCGACCGCCGCCGCGCCGTCCCCCGGCCGCCCCCGAGGCCGCTCCGCCGCGGGCCCTGCCGCCCCGGGGCCGCGCCCCGCTCCCGCGCCTCGGGGGCTGAGCCGAGCAAACTTCCCGGACCGGCCGACGCCCGGCGCGGACCCTGCCGCGTCCCTGCGCGCCCGGGTGGGCGCGGGGCGCTCCAACCTTCGGGCATCGGGCCGCCACGCCCGCTGCACCTGCTCAGCCCCCTCCCTGCTTGCTGGGGACTCCGGAGACGCCGCCACTTCGCAAACTTTTGCACCCCCTTCGAGGGGGGACGAGGAGGGGTAAAAGGGGCAGGAGGTCCCGCGGGGCGCGCGCAGACCTGCGGGCTCCTAGCTGGGCGCCGCCGCCCGGGAGCCGGACCCGGAGGGGCGCGGGCCCCGGCGGCCGCCCTCCGGCCGCGCTCCGGCTCCCGCTCCCGCCCCTGCTTTTCCGGCGGGAGCGGGGGGCGGGGTGCGGAGGGCAGCGCGGCCCGCGCGGTCACCGGCGGGGCCGCCGTGCATGGCCCTGCGCAGTGGGGCGGGCTGCTTCGGCCGGGTCTGGCGCAGGGTGTCGGGGCTCCCGGACGCCTGGCCCCGGCGCTCAAGCAGCCTCCTGTGCCTGTCCGCCTTCTCGCCCGAGCCCGGGCCCGCGCCACCCCTGCCCCGCCAGCCGCCTCACGGTGGCGGCGGCTGTGGCGGCCCCGGCGGAGGGGGGCCCCCCCAGCCTCCCCGCCCCCCGCCTCCCCGCTGCTGCTGCTGCTGCTGCTGCTGCTGCCGCCGCCGCTTACAACTTGGAGGCGGCGGCGGCGGCGGAGGAGGCGGCGGCGGCCGCCGGGCGCTGCAGTGGGACGCGCGCGGCTGCGAGCCTGCGGGACATGCCCCCCGCGCCGGCTCCTTGCTGGCGGCCATGAAGAGGCAGAACGTGCGGACTCTGTCCCTCATCGTCTGCACCTTCACCTACCTGCTGGTGGGCGCCGCCGTCTTCGACGCCCTCGAGTCGGACCACGAGATGCGCGAGGAGGAGAAACTCAAAGCCGAGGAGATCCGGATCAAGGGGAAATACAACATCAGTAGCGAGGACTACCGGCAGCTGGAGCTGGTGATCCTGCAGTCGGAGCCGCACCGCGCCGGCGTCCAGTGGAAATTCGCCGGCTCCTTCTACTTTGCCATCACGGTCATCACCACCATAGGTAAGGGCTGGGCGCGCTGCCGCCGGGCTCCTGGCGCCCCGGGAGGAGTCCGGGGAGGCGGCTGAGCGCGCGGCGCGGGGCTGGGTGCGGGGCGCCGAGGGTTAAACGCTGCCTGTCGTCGGGGCCCCTCCCGCGGCGCCCCCTCCTCTCTCGGGAGCCGCTGCCTCTCCTGCGCCTCCGCGCCTCAGCCCTCTCGGACCCCACCCCGGTGCTCTCCTCCGCGCCGGTGTCTGGGCCGGGCGTGCAAGCCTGGAGCGAGCGTGCCGGAGCCGGGAGGGCGGAGGCGCCACTTTTGCGAAGAGAGTGGAGCGCTAAGAATAATCGCATAGCAGACACCCACCCACCCACCGCCCCGGCGCGGGCTGGTCTGCGCGGGGTTCCAAGCCTTACACTTACTACCTCTCCGGGAGTTGGAGAGGGCTGGCCTGGTACCCGCGGCGCGAAGACGGACTCAGGTGGCGGGGGACTGCTCCTGGAGCGTGGGAGGCGCTGACCCTCGCAAGCCTCCAGCCTTCTCCGCGCCCCGATTTCCTGCCTCCTGGCTCCTCTTCGGATTCTGGAGCCTGGTTGTGCCAGGCCCCTGGGAGGAGAGAGTTTGCTGTCTGCTGATTGGGTTGGGGGTGGCAGCAGGGTGAACTGCTCTAGGAGTGAGGTCGAGGAGGGGCCGGGCAGGACCTGCCCATCCCCAGGCTGTGACAGCGGCTAAGGCAGGTCTGCATATTGGCCAGAAACTGGGGAAGTTCAGCCCCAGTCTGGGGAGAGAGTCCAGTTGATACACCTTGGGGACTCCTGTGGGTCCTGAACCCAACCAAGGGTGCTGTCCGCGGAGCAAATCTCTGTGGGTGCCTGGGGTAGCCTGGTGTGGGAGAGCTGCAGACATTACACTTTGACAGAGACCTGTGCGAGCTGGAGCAGTCTCTTCTGCCCTGTGGATGGGGGGGTGCCCTCCGTGGCAGGGGGCAGGGTGGTGTCTCTCTGGTTTGCAACTTGTCCCCAGGGCCATCTCCTTGGACCTGTCAGGGCCACCGTGTTGGCTCAGGGTGGTCTCCTATCTGCTCCCTGCCGCCCTTTGTGCCCCTGTGCCCTGAGCCGACACCCCCACCTTCCCACCCTTCTCGGTCCTCCTGCCTTACTTCTGGAGCTTCTCCTCCAGTTTTCCCCTTGGTATTTCTCTTTGTCTGGAAAGCTCTGCATGCTGAAAAAACAGGATTTCTCAGTGCCATATGCAACAGGAAGCGCCAGCACAGGACGGCCTGTCTTTCCTTCTCGGTTGAAAAGACTTTTTAGAGAGTCATCTTGTTTGAAATGTTTAATTCATTGGTGCAGGCTTTTATGTTGTTGGAAGGAAATTGTCCTTCTGTTGTCTGCATCACCAGCTTTGCTCCCGCTTGTCCCACCGCCCTTGGCCCAGCGGCCAGAACCCAGAAAAGTCCTTCCTTCCCCACCCTGTGCCTCCAGTGCCTGAAAGGGCCAGTTGGTCATTACCGTCATTTCTGTCTTTAAACTTGCAGTGGGAGCTGCGGCCGTAACACACAGATGAGCAGGGTGGTGAGCCTGGGGGATGGGGGCCTGTTGGCTGGAAAGCTAGAGGGCAAAGAGCTATGCCTCCAAACCTGACCGCCCCTGGGGAGGGGAAGAGCGCAACATTCCCCAAATGTGCATTGAGAGATCTAGACCCAAGCAGGTGAAGGCTGCCGGCACACCGCCCCAGGAGTGGCACCAGCACATAAAACGTTTGGCTGGTTCCGAGAGTTGGGCTACAACATTAAGGAGTGCATTGGAGTTAAAATCAAACCCAGAGATGCTCCCATTTACCTGAGATGGATAGAGTTCTTATCCAGGTGTGTCTCTTGATTCTGATGGATCGTTCTGGGCGTGTTCTTCTACGGTTCTGGTGGTTAAGGCTCCAAAGAGATTGGGGAGGAACGTGTGGCTCAGTGGAGGGTGCAGTCTCAGCCAGGGCTGTGGGTGGGACTCGAATCGAGACACGGCCGGAGGGGCAGCTGATGACGAGGCTGATTTTTCTCACTTCCCTCACTGAGTTTTCAGCTGGTTTTCTGGAAAGAAAGGTTGGACTGTGTGTGTAAGCTGGGGAGGAGAGACAGTCCTGACTGCCCTGCGGTGGGAAGACACCGGCCGTGCAGCCCATTGTCCGGGCTTCGAACCGGAATCTCATCCTACAGGAAGACGTGGGGAGGTTGTTACCAGACTCCTACCTCAGTTTCCCCGCCTATTGAAGGCGCTGACAGAGACCACCTGCAGGCTGACTGGAGGGCTGGTGCCGTCCAGCGAGATGCGCTTAGGGGGTGTGAATGCACGTTCTCCGATAGGCTGAGTCTTACACTCTTGCGTTAAGAAGCTGTTTAGCAGAGGAGCTCGAATTTACGGGAAACAAAGCACCTTTCTAGTTAATTCTGTTTGTTTTCTTCTTTTTTAATATAAATGCAAATTAAGGTGCTCCTAGGCCTAGAACAAAAACCAGCCCCACGCCAGGCCCTCCAAGGAATTGTCTCCTATCGGACAGTGATATTAATGAGTCTGGTGAATCTTCACGGGCCTTCTTATTTTTACCGTAACCTTGAGCGCTTTCTCCAGCGGGCTTCAACTTTGAGCTCAAGTCTCCAGCTGGGGCAGGAACCCCCGGCACGCACACCGTCCTCGAATGGACGCTGCGTCTCACATGCAGTCCTTAGCTGACTCTGTGAAGTGGATTTTAAAAACGTATATAATCACCACTTCACCTCGGATCTGTGGCTGTGCCCTGGTGAAAGGGACGTCACGTTGAATCCCGCCCCGCTCTCCGAGGAGCCCCAGCACGGCCATCGTCGTCCTAAGGAGGGAAGAACTCAGGTCCAGCAGCTCCCAAAGGGCAGGTTCAGCGTCCTGCTTCATCTAGCTCTGGTTATCATTCTTCTCCACTGGCTTCTCCTGGTGTCCGTGCCACTTGTAGCTGCTTCCCAGGAGATTCCATAGTTGAGTTCTAAACTTGGGAAGCCCTGAACCTTTGGAACTCCCCTGCGTTTAAGATGGAAAACCCTCCTAGGTACCCCGCCTGCTTGTCTGATTAGGAGGCGGTGGGCAACCCCCCGCCTCCTTCCTCAGCTGTGGGTGGAAGCGGTGGGTGTGCTGGCAGCACCCATATGGGCCTAGAGAGTGCTTGATTTGAGTTTCCCTGCTTGGGGCTAAGGCCTGGGTGCTAAGGGACCCCCCCCCCCCACAAACTTGTAAGCTTCCTACAGGAGGCACTTTAGGCCAAAAGCGTGACCCACAATCAGCAGCTACTCCTGACACCAGGGCGGGAGTCCCCACGACACTTCTTTGAATCTCACGTCTGTGATCTAAGTTGTTGCCACTTTTAGGGTCATTAAAGAAGGAAAAACCATGCTCAGAATGCAGAGCTCGTCTGGGAGGACGATTTGAAAAGTGGTCTGCGTAAGGGAAGGAGGGGAGGAACAAATGTGGGTTTTCTGCTTTGGCCTCAGTTTGGAGGAGTGGGGAGACGTACGTCAGGGGCCGGGTCCCCAGGCCCTTTGGGCCCAGCTGGAGCGAGGTGGCTGCTGCAGAATAGAGGAATAGAGGGGACTGGCTTAGGAGCCAGGGGCTGCTGGCTAGGGGTGGGGCCCACTCTGAGAGAAAGTTCTGGGACTCCTGTCGTTCCCGGGGAACCAGGTCCCACACCTGTGTGAAACCAGAATGCAAGGGGTTGCCTCCCTTTTCTCATTCATAAACTGAACCTCGAACTGAGTTTTCGCGAGGCGAAAGCGTTCTCCACACTCTCTGGCACTCTGGAGTGTAGTTTTCAGTCGTGGTTTATACTCTTGCTGTGCTGCTCTGAGGCTCTGGGGACAGTCTAGATGGCGAGATAAGGCCTGGCCTTGAGGCAGGAGGGGAACTGGAAACCCAAACACTTGGTTGCAGTCCAGCCTGAAGAGCGGGGACAGCCACTCAGTTAACCTGTCCCGTGCCGCCCACAGTGATGCAGAACGCCCCCAGGGAGCCTTCCCCTTGGCCTTTGCACGGCTTGCACAGGTCCTGACGCTCCAGGAAGTCTCAGCCTGCCTCTGCGCTCCCTGCCTCCCACAGTTCCAGCGTTGTCCATACTGTTTATTCCTCCCCAGGCTGACTGTGCCTTCTCCAGCACAGCACAGCACCCAGCACGATGCCCGCAACAGAGAGGGCATCTCATAAAGGACTGCAGGACGGAAGGGGCCCAAACGGACCGAGCCAGGCTGGCGCCAGAGGGAGCGTGGCGCTTCCACACATGTGCATGCACATCATCCTCGAGGCTAGTGGAAGGATTGCCCTACTGCACACATGAGGAAACTGAGGCCCTGATAAGGCAGCGCGCACTGAGGCAGAGGACCTTGAGCTCTGTGATGCAGTTGAGAGCTCCTTACTGCAGGCTTCAACTGTGGCTTCATCCCAGGAGCCAGGGATGGGCCTGTGGAATATTCCATCTGTGTCTTTCTGCTTCTCCCTTAACTCCATGGTTTAGGAAACCTTCTCAGCCAGACCTGGTTGAAAGACCTGCCCACCCAGCACACCGAGGGCTGGACAGGAGGGGTGGGGTTCCCTTGTTCCTTCCCAGTGTGGCGGCTGGCAGGTGCGGGAAGCATGAGATGCCCGTGGACAGCTCCTCCTCCCCAGACCCTGCCCAGACCTGGCCTTGCTCGATGTAGCGCTGCCCTCCGGTACACATGGCCTATTTATAGACATCGTGGGGGAGGTGGAGAAGTGGGGCTCCTTTCTCTGGGTGACATGAAGAGACGGCTCTCCCGAGGTGTATGGAGACACCTAGCTGAGTGTGCCGAGACAGTGGCAGGTATCAGGTGAGGCCCAGTGTTCGACCGCCCGTTGCCTTCACCTGCTCTCTCCTGGGACTGCCCGGACCCTCACTAGCTAAGTCCAGGGGGGTCAGAGCAGGAGGTGAACCAGGCCTTGGTCTACATCTCTTCCTCTATGCTCCTATTGTTCACACCTCCACCCACCCCTTCCCCATG